CTGCCCCCACAGTGATGGGAACGAGACCCGCAGGTGCTTGTCTGATTGATCCCCCCTGGGGGAGTCATGAGATGGGATCTCTGTGTGTCCGTGTTACCAGGAGCTGAGTGAGGAGATGAGGAATTTTCCCTCCCTGATTTCCACCTCCTAAACCCCCTTGTGACCAGTGTCTCACCCCGCTTCTAATGGAGATGTGAGTGTGACAGGGCCCCGAGTGACTCTAGACAATCCACTTCCCCTTTTTTACCAGGCCCGCTTTGCCTTGTGTCACTGTGTGCGTGTATCCCTGACACAGTAATACATGGCGGTGTCTGCAGCTGTGAGGGAGGCCAGCTGCAGGGAGAACTGGTTCTTGGAGGTATCTGAAGAGATGGTGGTCCGGCTTTGGAGAGACGTGGCAAACCACTTTCCCCCGTCTGGTGGGTATATACTTGCTACCCACTCCAGCCCTTTCCTGGGGGGCTGCCGGACCCAGTCCCAGGCGTAGCTGCTCTCAGTGATGGAAACACCCGAGACAGCGCAGGTCAGTGCGAGGGTCTCTCCGGGTTTCACCGCCCCCGGGCCGGATGGGACCAGCTGCACCTGGGAGAGGATGCCTGGGAAAGAGAAACAAAGCAGGGAAGAAATTAGCCACCGAACGAATCTGTGGATCTGTCTCCAATTCTCCTGCTCACTAATAGACACTCACAGCTGGGGGCGGAGAACAGGGACAGGAAAAGCAGCAGAGATTTCATTCTCATTTCCATGGAATGAGGGAAACTCCCCAGCAGGCAGGACCGGGCAGTTCTGTGTCTGGGGAGAGACTGAGGCTGCTAGAACCAGGGGTTGGTATTTAACAGGAACCCCCTGGGGCAGGGATTTGCATGCGGGTTCCCCAGCGGGTATAAAGGGAGGGACACTGCCAGGCAGGGAGCGCTGTCTGTGGGAAGCAGAGTCACCTTCCTGTCAGCGGTGGCCCAAAGTCAATTCACCTTCATTGGAGCCCTTCAGGGAAGCAAGGGACTGTGGATCGGGTCCCTACACTGGGGGGTTTGAATCCAGCCTTCCAGCCGCGCCTGCTGCCGAATGCCCCGGGCAGAGCTGAACAATAGAAACCAGAGAGTGGAGATGTCCAGAGACGTGAGACTCTCCCGGGAGTGTTGGATGGGGAAGGAGCCGCAGCTGCGGGGAGCCAGCGGCTGGTTCCAGGCACCACAGTGTGAGGAACCGCTTCAGGGAAAGGGAGAGAGCTGGGCACGGAGGGACGGTGCGGGTTGTGGGCTCTGTCAGAGTAAAGGCCGTGATGGTAGTAACCCAGGGACAGTCTAGAGCCCACGCTCGGGGGAAATGCATCACCCTAGTGTCCGGTGCTTTTCCTGTAGCAGAGACACCTGTGAGGTGTGCGTGCGTGTGTGTGTGTGTGTGTGAGAGAGAGAGAGAGAGACGGCTGGGCCCTGCTGGAGGGAGTGAAACTTGCTCTGTGCGTAGGTGTAGGTCAGTGTTGAAGCCCAGACAGTCCCTTACACTGACCTGTAAGCTATGCCTGGTTCAATTGGGTAACCGGTGACTCCAACCTATGCCCGGTACGATTCGGTTTGGGACATTGATGAGAAACGCAGGGAATGGATCAGGGACAACCAATATTCTGGGGTCACAAACTCGTCTCTTTCTCTCAAACACCGTGGTGTGCAAGGAGAAGGCGGACAAAACGCCTGCTCATGGCCCTAGGAGAAAGGGAACAAGCTAGACTGCTGTACAGTAACCTCATCCAAAGTAGGCGTTGCACTGTTATAACTACATCTGTGAAAACATTACAGTCCTAACTCAAGTAGTTATACGGGTACAAAGCTGTGTGCAGACGAGATCTGAGTGCTCTAGGGAGCCGTGACTGATTTAGAAACAAAGTTGCACCAGTTTGACTTAGGCCTTTGTGACGAAGTGGGAATGTTCTTGATGTGTTATTTGAATGCTGAGTGGGGAGTATTAACCTGGGAAGGTTGCAGGGGAGTTTTGCTGGGACTGCCTGCATTGGGGAAGGGAGCATACCTGAGCATGTAACATGAGAACCCAAGAGGGGGTGGGGGGATTGGAGGCCAGGTAACACCTCTGCCTGGGAAACTGGACAAAGGACACAAAGGCTGGGGGAGGAGCCGGGGAAAAAGGCCAGAAAGGAGAGGGCTGAAGGGAGTTTCAGTTTGGAGCTGGCTGGGAAATAAAGAGGGGCGCCCTGACCAACAGGGCTGTGGCCTCCCTGGGGCCCCCAGATGGACCTAACTAAAGGGGGTTCTGTTGTCTTTATCGGTAAGATCTGTTTTGGACTGTGTTCCTGTCTCGAAATAAACCTTCTGTTTTACTGGCTGGCTGAGAGTCATGGTGAATCGCAGGAAGCCGGGGGTGCAGGGCCTGGTCTTCCCCACACTCTGTGACAACTGGTGGGAGCGGTGGGATCTACTGCACTGAGGGACCCGCCACCGAATTGCCACTGAAGAACCGGACCTGCTGCCCTTTCTGTTGGCCGCCCCAAGCACCTGCTTGCTGCGCTGGTTCCTGGAGCCGGCCCTGGTGATGATCTCTCAGATCAGCTCAGAGGCAGAAAAGTAAAGAAGTGTATTCTGGGTAACTTGGAAATAACCTTACATAGAGTTAGGGCCTGCGTCTACTCCCAGTGAAATCAGCAATGAAATTGCCAGGGTCCAGTCCTGCCCCAATGACAGGGATGGATATCTGAAATAATCCCACAGCTATCAGTGATGTGATGCTGGATTTGAACCAGTGTAAATGGGAGCAAAATCTGGTTTTCATTGACTGAGCTAACAGCAGGATTGGACTAGACGGAGAACGGGTCTGATTCCAGTAGAGCTGGGTGGGAAATGGGCTGTTTCCCCTCGAAAGCTTTTACTTGTCTTTTAAAAAAAAGAAAGCAAGAAAGAAATCTTGAAAAGATCTAATTTATTTGCAGCACAATAATAAGTGTGGTGTCTTCAGTAGTCAGTGAATTCAACACGAGATAATACCCATTTCTGGAAGTGTCCCTAAATATGAGTGATCGGTTTTGGGATGTTGGGGAAGGGTGGTGCACAGGGCCGGCTCCAGGTTTTTTGCCGCCCCAAGTGGCGGGGGGAAAAACAAACAAATAAAACTCACCGCGATCGCGATTGGCGGCAGCTTCACCGCGCCGCTTTCTTCTTCGGCGGCAATTCGGTGGCAGGTCCTTCCCTCCGAGAGGGACCGAGGGACCCGCCGCCGAATTGCTGCTGAAGAGCCCGACATGCCGCTCCTTCCCCTTGGCCGCCCCAAGCACCTGCTTGCTCACCTGGTGCCTGGAGCCGGCCCTGGATGTGGACCATCACCTCCACTAATGTGTCCAATCCATTCCATCTGGCTTTGTTGAGTCCGACAGACACACCTCCAGTCATAAGTCTGAGTGATGGGGACCCCAGCCACTTCACAGATCAGCCGGAGTGATCCTGAGGGTTTCAAAACTTGCTCTCCTGATTGCAACCATGACTGTGTCAATTGCGTCTGAGAAAGGACACCTGGGAAGAAAAGGGATGGGAGAATTCAAAGTACAAGCAACCACACATAAGGAAGAAGGGATCCATCACACACACAAAAATGGTGTTAGACAAATAACTACGTCCCAGTGTCTCCCATCAAAACTGTCAAGGTCACAGGATGACAAGGTCAAGGGAAATGATCAAAGCTTTAATTGTTCTTTTATGGGAAGAGTCAAGAAGAATGAAACTGTCTGTCTAAGATTCGGATGGACAAAATCCTCTGGAAGTTTCTATTTAAACAAGAAACCCAGATGGCTGATGTGCATGAAGTGTACATGCTTCAGTGGCAGATATAAAAACAACCAAGTGGTTATTTTGTCGCTACCTCTCTCCTTCCCCTTCTGTTCTTTAAGGGAAACACCTGTGCAGTTCAGGAAATGAATTTAAAAGCAAGTCAGAGCGGTCAGTGATTAGAGAATGAGGGGTACTGGGGAGTGTGGACTCTTGGGTTCTATGTTCACTTTTGGAAAGGGAGTGTAGGCTAGTGGGGTACAGCAGGGGCGCTTGGAATCAAGAATCCAGGCTTCCAGTCCCAGCTCTGTAAAGAGACTAGGGTGCAGCGTGTCTGAGAATCTGGGAGTCAGGATTCCTGGGTTCTATCCCGGATTTGGGAAGGGAATTGGGTCCAGTGGCTTACAGAAGAGGGGTTTTGTGAGCCAGGACTCCCTGGGTTCTATTTCAGGTTTGGGAGCACATTGGTGTCTAGTGGGTAGAGCAGAAAGGGTTGGGAGTTATCACTCCTAGGTTCTGTCCCCAACTCTCAGGGGAGAGTGGGATCAAGTGGTTAGAATAGGAAAAGGGGAGTTACGAAGCTCCCCATCGCCTGACTGAAGCACTGACTTTATTTGTGACCCGGGGAATGTCAATTAGAGTAAAATTTTCAAAGGAACTGAACATTCCAATTACTTTAGGCTGGGGTCCTCCCAGAAAACCTGGCACCTAACTCCCCTGTGTCCCCTTGGGAAGTCAAGCACTATTATGGCCGTTTAGATATCTCCATGCTTTAAGGTAATGGAATAATATGAAGGCACAAATGCCTCAAGCGATGTGCAGTGCGGGGAGCCATAGAAATCAGTAAAATTCTCCTGTAATTCAGGATTAATTTTGCATGATACAAGGTTGGGGGTGGAGGGAACCTTGACAGCATGAGAGTGTGTGCGAGAGAGAAGCAGAGAGAGAGAGAATAGATTTTTTTTTCAATATACAAGTGAAAGTCATATAAATAGCCAATTTGTTACTGTCTTGGATCGGAACAAGAAGCACCTGTGTTTCTTTCCCTTTCAGCTCTGACTGATTCTGTTCTTGCATTAATTTCAGTTCACTTACACATATACATGAACGGTTTGTGACCCACCTAGGGAGAAATTCACTGGGGTAGAAGTTACTGGAGTTATGTCCATTTACACCAGGAGAGAAATATTTATATATTTAAATACACAGAAATTTCTTTTCTTTTCTTTTCAGTTGTTGGACCAAGCAGCACATTCTGCAGCACCTGGGCTTTGAGCAGGAATCTAGCTCGCTGAAACCAATGGACGTTGAAGTAAAGAGGGAATCTGTTGACTGAAATGGGTGTCTTTTAAGAGATTGCCCATAAAAAAATGTACGGTGAAGTTCTCAAAAGCGTCTAATACATTAGAAGCCTAAATCCCATTTTCAAAAATGACATGGGGTAAAAATTTCAGAAGCACTCAATGACCTAGGAACCCACCTCCCATTTTTCAAAAGTGCCTTTAGGATTTAGGATCTTAAATCCCCGTCACTTCACATTAGATTTAGGGAAACATTCTCAAAAGCACCTCTGTGACTTAGTGCTTAGTGCTAGGTTCTGAAAGGTACGTAACTCTGAAAAACCATTTCCTATGAGGGCTAAGGCTGAGGCCTGTTTTTGTGCTAGCGTGTATCATGGTGGTTTATACATCCGGTAGGTGCTCCTAGCACAGTAGTATGTTGCTGTGTCTTGTGGACTCAGGCTGTCCACTCGCAGGTAGAACTCATCCTTGGAAGGGTTCACAGTGATGGTGGTTCGATTTTGAATGTCAGGGAGATAGTGGGTGTTCCCATATCTGTCTATCAATGCCAGCCACACCAGCCCTTTTCCTGGGGGCTGCCTGAGCCAGTGCCACCAATCTCCACCAGTAGAGAGTGCAGAATCTGAGACAGCACAAGTCAGACTGAGGGACCCTGAGACTGTCACCTCTCCTAAACCGGACTGCGTCATCGTAAACCCCAAGATGGGGCCTGGCAAGAGAGGGAAAATACATTAATGAACAAGGTAATAAACCCGCAGTCAAGGCTGGTTTTCTCGAAGACGTACACCCAAGGTCCCACTGAGAATGAACTGGAACTGGACACCTAATTCCCTGAAACCCAGCCCAAGTCATTATTTCCCACAGTCACCCCCAAATACTCACACGTGTGGAAGGCTGAGATGGAAATGCAGAACAATAATAGTTTCATATTTTTCTTTACTGGAGAGACTTCTCTGCCACGAACCACCAGCTCATTTCCTTGGGACAGACTCAGGTTCTGAGATTCTGGAGTTGCTCTTTAAAGAAGAAACCTGAGGGAAGTGATTTGCATGCAGGTTTCACAGACAGAGTATAACACATCAAATGGGGCTGGGCCGGGGGAACAGGTGGGTAAGTCCAGACTCTCAGCTCCTTGTGGGTGTACCTCTCAATGGGTGAAATTGACTCCAGTGCAAAGGGACAACACAATGCGCATAGGGACAAATTCACTGGAGTTGTGTCCAGGGCCGGCTCCAATTTTTTTGCTGCCCCAGGCCAAAAAAAAGCATTGCCCTGCCGTAACACCCCCCCAGTGCCGTGCCGCCGAAACACCCCCCCCCAGCACCTGTGTCGCGCTGCCAAAACCCCCGCCCCCCCAGTGCCACGCCGGGCTGCCAAAACCCCCGCTCCCCTGAGCATCGCGCCGCTGAAACCTCCCCCCGAGCACCACACTGACAAACCCCTGTCCCCCCGAGCGCCGCGCCCAGCTCCCAAAACCCCCGGCCTCCCGCGAGTGCCGCGCCACCCAAACCCCTGCACCCCCCCGAGTGCTGCGCCGGGCCGCCCAAACCCCAAGCGCCGTTCCAACTCCTGCCCCCCCCAGTGCCGCGCCGCCAAAGCCCCCGCCCTCCCCAGTGTCGTGCCGCTGAAACAAAAACAAACCTCGAGCGCCGCCCCACTGAACCAAAAGAAACAAAAACACAAAAAACCCTGAGTGTCCCCCGCCATCCCAAGATTGGCCGCCCCTTCCAAGGTGCCGCCCCAAGCACGTGCTTGGTCGTCTGGTGCCTGGAGCCGGCCCTGGTTGCAACCCCTGTCCATTCCTATTTTCCCTTATAATCCCCCTTATGCCATCCTGTATCCTCCCGGGCCCAGATTTGGTGCTGTCTCCATCAACTCCTCCCCTCTTTCTATGGGACTAGCCACTCTTCTCTTCTTCCTCACCCTCCCACCTTCAGTTACCACCTGCTGCCCCCCTCCTCATTATCCAAACACCCAAACCTGTTCCTGAGTTCTATTTCCCCTTCACTGGCCCTCCTTTTCCTTGGCCTGCTTCTCACGGTCACATGCTTCCACTGCCCTTGTTCTCCCCCCGGCATTCCCCCTCACAGGCCTTAGCCCCTGCTTCCACCTGCACCCCTGAGCATTCCCCTTCAGCCCCTCCTTGCCTTTGCTCCATTAGCTGCTCGAACCCCCTTCTAAACTCTATCAGGGTATCTACCTGCATCTCCAAACCTCGGATCTTTTCTTCCAGCAGTTCTATTAGGTGACACTTCATGCAGACATACCTCTGTTCTGGCTCCCCCGCTAGCACCAGGTACATACCGCAGCTGCCGCATGCAATCATCTGCATTGTGTCCCCTGCTGCTTGGCTCATGGCTGCTGTTGTCTGTGCCCGCCTGCTCATCTGTGCCCTCCGCACCTGGGGGAACACAGCACACGGGGCACCACGCCCTCCTGCCTCCCCTTCCACCTCCCCCTGTGAACTCCCACTCAAACTCCCCCGTTAGCAGCCCCGTTTGCCGGCTGCTGTAATCTCCCCTGCCTTGATTACAGTTTTGGGCTTCCCATCTAGGGGTACGTCTATACTTACAGGCTGGTTCGGTGGCAAGCAATCGATCTTCTGGGATCGATTTATCGCGTCTTGTCTAGACGTGATAAATCGATCCCGGAAGTGCTCGCCGTCGACGCCGGTACTCCTGCTCCGCGAGAGGAGTAGGCGGAGTCGATGGGGGAGCCTGCCTGCCGCCTGTGGACCCGTGGTCAGTACCTTTAAGTTCGAACTAAGATACTTTGACTTCAGCTACGTTATTCACGTAGCTGAAGTTGCGTATCTTAGTTCGAATGGGGGCTTAGTGTGGACCAGCCCTAAGATGTACCTTTCTATTTCCTCAGGAACACCCTCTAAGAACTGCTCCATTTGCATTAGGAAAGTCAGATCTTCCAGAGATTTAACACTTGCTCCTGATATCCAGGCATCCCAATTTTTCACAATGTGGTAGGCATGTCGGGTAAATGACACGTCTGGTTTCCACCTTAGGGCTCTGAACCACCAACAGGCATGCTCGGGTGTTAGCCCCATTCTGATTCTGGCCTTTTTAAAAAAAAGTTCATAACTGTTCATGTGTTCCTTAGGCATTTCAGCCGCCACCTCTGCTAAGGGTCCACTGAGCTGCGGCCTCAGCTCTATCATGTACTGGTCTGAAGAGATGCTGTACCCAAGGCAGGCCCTTTCAAAATTTTCTAAGAAGGCCTCAGTATCATCGCCTGCCTTGTAGGTGGGGAATTTTCTGGGATGGGAGCGGTACCTGGAGAGGGGTTGCTAGGGTTGTCTGGTATATCCCGCTTAGCCCTTGCCCTCTCTAACTCCAGTTCATGCTACCCCTCTCTTTCTCTCTCTTCCATAGCTCTCTTGTGGGCAGCCTCATTGGCTTTCTCTGCTCTTTCAGCAGCTTCCTTCTCGAGGTTTTTTAATTCGATCAGTCTCTTATGCTCCTTTTCTTTCTCTTGTGCTTCCAGTCTGGCCAGCTCTAGTTTATTAGCAGCGTCTCTGGTACTCATTTTCCTGCTTTCTTGTGCTGGGCCACACCCCCTCTGCAGTTCACTGAAAGTGGGATGCACTCAGCTCAGGGGCTACTTAGTTAACAGAGACTTTCACAGCTTTCAGTGTTCAGCCTTTCTGTGTTTAACCTAGCTATTTGCAAGAGCTAGAAAGAAGAAAAAACAACCCAGTTTGTGAATTCCTTTGCTACTGTAACTTGACCCCTCTGCCTTCAGGCAGAGACAAAAAAAACTAACAAGAAAAAAATGTCCTTTTAAAATCCTGCTGTACTTTTGGTTAAAAAATGATCCCACTGCTCTGCCACCATGTCAGGGTTCCTTCCCCACTCTGAATTCTAGGGTACAGATGTGGGGACCTGCATGAAAGCCCCCTAAGCTTATTTCTACCAGCTTAGGTTAAAACCTGGTGCGCTGCCACCACCAAGTGATTTAACAAGAAACAGGGAAAGGACCACTTGGAATTCCTCTTCCCCCAAAATATCCCCCCAAGCCCTTACACCCCCTTTCCTGGGGAGGCTTGAGAATAATATCCTAGCCAATTGGTTACAAAGTGATCGAAGACCCAACCCCCTGGGTCTTTGGACAATGGAAAAATCAATCAGGTTCTTAAAAGAAGGATTTTATTAAAAAGAAAAGGTAAAAATCATCTCTGTAAATCAGGATGGGAAATAACTTTACAGGGTAATCAGATTCAAAGAGCCCAGAGGATCCCCCTCTAGCCTTAGTTCAAAGTTACAGCAAAACAGGGAAACCTCCCTCTAGCAAAGGAACATTCACAAGTTGAGAAAACAAAGATAAACTAACACGCCTTGCCTGGCTGTACTTACAAGTTGAAATATGAGAGACTCGTTCAGAAGATTTGGAGAGCCTGGATTGATGTCCGGTCCCTCTTAGTCCCAAGAGCGAACAACCCCAAAACAAAGAGCACAACCAAAAGCCTCCCCCCCCCCCAAGATTTGAAAGTATCTTGTCCCCTTATTGGTCCTTTGGGTCAGGTGTCAGCCTGGTTACCTGAGCTTCTTAACCCTTTACAGGTAAAAGGATTTTGGAGTCTCTGGCCAGGAGGGATTTTAGAGTATTGTACACAGGAGTGTTGTTACCCTTCCCTTTATAGTTATGACAAAGAGATCAAGATGACTTTTCCTTAAAATTAAGCACTGTTGATTGTAATCGGAAATACGCCCTTTTTAGACATGTATACTTCCTTCCTTCATTCTTTCATATCAAAATCTACTACATTTTATTCTACCTTTAGAATATCCAATTATTGTTATTAATAACATTTATAAAATTAGAATGGCGGATACTCCGTCATACAACAACAACTGACAATATCCATATGACAAATTTCAGCAACGTGCACACGCATATTCGTACATGATAAACATATAGACTCAAATACTTCACGTACACACACAACTGACACAAAGTGTTAGCGAAATGATGCAGCAGCAATTGCCAGAGTCTTAGATCTGAAACAACTCAACACAAATAGTTGCCTCAGTCAACAACCTCCAAAAACTAGTAAACGGAGCATTATAAACAGCCTGTCAGAACGGGTAACGGCTGCGCACGATGAGAAAAAAGACTTTGTACCATAGTGAAGCAGTACGCTTGTGCCCGCAACCCAGAGTTGGCATAAGGAGGGTTACCATATTTGGATACAATGTGATTGTCCGAGAGGGAGGATTTGGCCTATGAAACAATAACTGTATTAAGATGCGGCCTGTAAAAAAGTTTGAGAAACCTTGACTTAAATTTCTTTGGTGACATGATGTAATATTCAGTATTGCCAACCTCAAACATTCAGAACTCATGAGTTGAGCCCCCACAAAATCACTCAATATCTCACCTATCAGTCCTCATCCTTAAAGGAAAGTGAAAACACTTTTCAAGAGATGAGCCTGGGAGCTTGAATTCAAAACGTTGCTAGACATTAAAAATCATGATCTTCATAAAGACAGTGGATTTATGGTTAATTACAACAACTTGCGACCCACTAATCTCCCCTTTTGTCCTGGTATTACAAGGGAGTTAATGGGCTACTTCACCTTGAATGGTCCCCTTGAATATGTGCTAACT